GCAAGAGTAACAGGTGTAACCAGAAGGAAACCGAGAGTTGACAGGTTAACTTAGAATGGGGACACAGGTCGCCGGCGTGCTGGCGGCGGTCGCTCACTGGACAGGAGGGACACCTCCTGCCCCTACTGACGCCTCCTGCAGATAGTGGACGCTGCCTGGGCCGTGCTGCCTAGGACCTGCGGTGCACCGGCCCACCCGGCGCCACCCACTGGCGCTCAATGTGGCCAGGATCTGGGTCTGGGCCCCTCGGACGGCGCCCATCTGCCACACCCCGGCGCATCGAGCCTCTGCACGAAGCCGGGGGCCCCACCAGCGGGTCCGGGTCGGGAGGCCGGCGGTCCAGGATGCGCGGGGAGGCGGTCGCTCGGGACGAGGCGCCTCGCTCCTGCAGCCGAGAACGCGGGCCGCCGCGCGACATCCGCTCGGAGTGGAAGCCGGTGGAGAGCGAGCCACGCTTTATCTGCTGCGCCACGCGCGGGATCCTCCTCTTTTTTTTTTTTTTAAAGTAGCATTCTGTTCTTGCATTTCTTTTAACTACAAAAAAAAAAAGTCACAGATATCCTCTGACTGCTTTCTTCAATTCCCTGTGCTGTCTTTTTCTTTTTCTGGATATTTTGGTCTCTTCCTTATTGGAGCATGTGTTCAAATGTTTGCCCTTAACCTGCCAGCTCATACTCAAGAGTAAGGCCTGAAAGAGCTTTTCAGCAGCTTTGTGCCTGTTTTCTGTAACTGGATGAAGACCCAGCTGTTTCTCTGGGGACTCCAAACATTAATACCTGCTGGTGTATCGTGTAGGAGCTTTGGGGGACAGTCCACCTCTAGTCTTCTGCCTTGAAGGTGCAAGCCAGGTGCTAGCGTCCTGGGAACAGATGTATCGAAAGGCACCGAGGAGGGTCTCCCTCTTTACCATGAGGCCTTTCACGTGGTTCTATTTTCAGGAAGGTGTCACCCCCAGCTTCTGCTGGACCTGGGGTCTCACATCTAGCCCTGCCTGGCTTCTCCCACTCTAGACAGTAATCCATGTGCCTTCAGGGTGGGAGAGAAGCGACTACCTGACATATGGACTGGAGGAAAGAATATGTGAGAAGTATTGATTGCTGCATGATAATATTACTCTGAGAATTAGTCATTTAAAACTACAGTGGTTTCTTGGTCTTCATGGGCAATTGGTTCTAGGATATCCCTGCAGATACCAAAATCCATGGCTGCTCTAATCCTTTATATAAAGTGGTATAATTGGCCGGGCGTGGCTCATGCCTGTAATCCCAGCACTCTGGGAGGCTGCATGGCAGGAGAATTGTGAGCCCAGGAGTTTAGAGTTGCTGTGAGCTAGGCTGAATCCATGGCACTCTAGGCCCGGACAACAAGTGAGACTCTGTCTCAAAAATAATAATAATAAATAAAATGGTATATATTTTGTTAAATCTATGTACATTCACTCATACTTTAAACGTCTCTAGTATATACTAGGTGAAATGCTAGGAAACGTTGTTATGCTGTTATTCTTTATTGTATTTTTTTTTTTTTTTTCGAGACAGAGTCTCACTTTTGCCCCAGGCTATGAGTGAGTGCCGTAGCACAGCCCTAGCTCACAGCAACCTCAAAACGTCCTGGCTAGCAATTCTGCTGCCTCAGCCTCCCAAGTAGCTGTGACTACAGCATGCGCCCCGTGCCGCTAATTTTTTTTCTTATATATTAGTTGGCAATTAATTCTTTCTATTTCATAGTAGAGACGGGGTCTCCTCTGCTCAGTGGGTTTTGAAACTCCCTGACCATTTGAGCAATCCGCCCGTCTCAGCCTCCCAGAGAGCTAGACTTACAGGTGTGACGCCACTCGCCCGGCTTATTTGTATTTTTATTATTTTCTTCCCATACTTTCATCTGTGTCAGTTGAAACCTGCAGATGCAGACCCCACCAGATATGGAGGGAGACGTGTACTCCTTCTGGCGCCCTTGGCCAGGAGCTTGGTCTGCTCCCTGCGTGCGTTGCCTCAGCGGTGAGGCTGCAGGTGGGGCTTGGCTGCTGCGGGACCCCCAGTATGCATGACCTCTTTCTTGCACCTGGCTCTCGCTCAGTAACACACGTGCTGCTCTGAGACCAGCACTCCTGAGACAGCCAGGGCGGTGCTGTTGCCCTTTCTGCCTGAGCCACGCAACCTCCTCACCCATTCCACCCACTTGGAAGTTCCATAACGGTCTGCCCCAGGTCAAGGAAGACCTGTTGGTCCAATCCTCCAGTGGAGGCACATTCAATACTGCATTGTCAGAAGAAGAGGCTGGACTACTGATTGATGTGACCTTCGGAAAAGAACCTTTTTACTAGCCTGTGGAGGAACTGCTGTCTCCAGACTCTTCCTGGGGTTCAGCCTCGTCTGGGGGCCTTTCCCCTTCAGGAAGTTAGGATTCTCCTGAGTCAGTTCTGCAGTCATTTCCACCTTCTTCAATCTACTTCCTTCTCCCAAATTTACTGATATCTTTTCTGATGTCAACTTGCCCTCTTGCTCTTTACT